CGTTAACATTCTTTCCTCTGCGAGTTTGATTTACCACCATAACTGTTCCACTTGTGATTTCCCGATTTTGAAGGAAAAATACATTACAACTCGTTTCGGTGTTTTATTCCATTTCGACATTTCCTTTCTGCAATACATCAGATATTAGCAATACTGTTTATGATGAAAAAAAAAACCAATGCAGCCATTTAATTTTTAACTGAAGATTAGAAAATGTCGTAAATTTTGTCTTTTAGAATATAGGACGATTAGACGATTTTTTGGATGCTTTTTAAAATGTATTTGTCTTTTTCCATTCTACTAGTATTAACTTTAAAACGTGACGTTTAGTTGTAACGCGGCGACACCCCATATGTTTGATGTTTTAAACATCTATAAAATGAATTCAATTGAACATTATTAGATGAAATTTTCAATTTTGATTAGATTTATGTTTGTGCATCTTTTGGTGCATTATATTTTATAATATGACGCCAAATATTAAAGATATGCACACAGTGACATTACTTTTGGATCAACCCTCGTACAAGGTCAAATGAATCAGCACCCACCCTCCCCGCCCACACTTCATTCTCCATAAGTTATTTGTATCATAGATATTCTCTTTCTAAATTGGCGAATATATTATACATTTCTTCTATACTTCATACAATTAACAAAGCTATAACAATTAGTTTTTCTTCTCTAATCAAGTTTCTGAGGTTAAAATGTTAGAGGAATCAATATATATGCCCCTTTGTCACAAAACATGTTAATCTTAAAATGAAATAAATTGATTTCTATTAAATCGGAACGCATAAATGTCGAAACCGGGGAAGGGGGGTAGGAAGGATTAGTCCCCCCTTTGCAAAAATAACTTTAATATAGGCATTGAAAATTGGGTACCTTTTTTGTTGGTTAAGCCCCCTCCTTTTCTGTTAGTCCCCCTTTCAATTTCCTTCCGACGCCCATGGAAAGAAATTTCACAAATCAACAAAACAGATATTTGTACACAAATATGTTGGGCTTATTTTAAATATCTTGAAAGTAGTTTGTTAAGTGAAGATTTACATCGTCCAGGAATTTTTCGAACAAGCCTCGTATTCGAAAGTGTGAATATGTATTAAAAGCAGAAGTTGTTAAAATTCATGCAAAATAAGAGTCGCTTCGTATTCAGTTGATTACCCCCTCCTTTGCAAATTTTGCGTAATATTTAATTTACATTCTTTAAGGTATGGACAAGATACTACAATTCAGAATCCATCTAACATTTATTTCAATGTTGTTGAACGATCCGCTGATCGGAGAGCAATTGCATCATCTCGGCTCTTTCCGTCAGAGGTCGGAAAAACATCGACAATCCTCGACTGACTCCGCTTCGTCCATTCAAACGTCGGGTGTAATAGGTGAAGGAATACGGATCAGGTCGATATATTTTTCTCCGCCGGAAACTGCCTTCTAATTTTATATTTCGTTATGCATAAAGTTCATCAGAAAGGTTTTATGATTTGTCTAATTCTTCGATGTAAAAGATGCTTTTAATTACAATCATTTGTTAATAGTCTTTGAAAGCAGGAACTTAGTGTTGTGCGTTCCACAATTCAAAGTAACTCGGACTTCAAAAGTTTAACATTTGAATGAAATTCAAATATGATCACATGACTGAATCAGCAAGGGTAGACCCCCTTTGATATCTGAGGTTAGTGTGCGAGTCGTCTGGTTCCCTGTCCCTGTACTTCTTGGCAAAGATACATGAGCCAGGTGACCAGGCTAGTGTACTAGCTTTGAAAGCCTTGAATGCATTAACATATTAACCGGATGTTAATTTTTTCGCATCTTTCAAGCTTTTAAATCAAAAACAGAATATACCCGTCGGAGAGAATGAATATACGGACTTAAAAGTCCCTTCTATAGTATATTTTAGGTAATATCAAAGTTAAACTCCATAATCCACATTATCATATTAGTATAAGAGTTTTTTTTTCAATTATTATTCAAGTAATACATTCGGAGTTGTTTTTACGCTAGGTGGAAAGACCCGAGAAGATGCGGCTAATATCTCCGAAGAGATTTAATTCGTTGTCTTTTCAATCTACATATGCATGTATATATACAAATGAAAATGGTGAGTTCCTATCAAGGAATAGTTTTGGAAAAAATAACAATCTATCGAATAGTTCAGTTTGATATACATGTAGTTTGAATTTTGAAAGTCCAGGTACATATACATATAAAATGGATTTTGATATGTAAAAGTACAGTTAATTGTCTATTTGGTACGTGGGACGGACTATATCATCATTGTCCACAGGTATACCTGAGGAATTGTTGACGTTTATTTTCCTATTTTCCTTTCACTATCAGGAAGTCATTACGTATACCACTTTGTTTAATTCCAGAGATAGCTAAAATGAACTCCTTGGATGTGTAGTACAACGTAGAATTATAATCTCATGATTGGGTCCCGGTGCCAGTAAAAGGAAAAAAGTTAGAAAAAACCCTCAGAACTAGGACAGAGAAATCATTTTAACCGGTGTTAGTGTATAATTATGTAATATATAGGCTTGTAAAACAACAATTCCCTGATTTGCGTCTTGTATTAATTTTATTGCTTATGTTACAAGTATTCACGTTGAAATCATCCTTCGAAGCGTAGCACCCTGTTTGTTTAAAAGATTGTCTTCCTTTCCTTTTAGTATTTTGAAAATTGTATTGTGATGGCAACATCTTTACAAACTTTATTAATAATAATTTCTAAAATTAATTGTTAAAAAAATCAATTTTAAAAAGTAGAATTAAATTACACAAGAATTGTTGATTTTAAATACGTTAAACATGTATATCACCACCGATTATGACGTAATATGTTCTTTTAGTCATGTGACATGTTCCCTGTCTCCCCTTAAATCACAGGGGCATCTTATCCACTCTGTTCTCTACTTCACATATAAAAATACACAAGGGAAGAATCGAAAGTAGCACACGATTTTTAAAAAAAGTCAAAAAACAACTTACTTGAGAAAAGTTACACAAATCCTGAAAGGAACTAGCGCAAATAATGTCCTAGTACTTATCCAGGCTAAAATATTCCAGATATATCCATCGAAAATAGCTTTTATCCAACTAAAACCCCAGCTTTCTGCACAGTGTGAATCTCTACGCCCAAGAAAAGATAACTCACCCGGATGACAATAGGGTAGTGCCCGAAGTCTTCCAATGGCACTCGGAAGGCCTCGGGTACTACCCTATTGTCATCCGGGTGAGTTATCTTTTCTTGGGCGTAGAGATTCACACTGTGCAGAAAGCTGGGGTTTTAGTTGGATAAAAGCTATTTTCGATGGATATATCTGGAATATTTTAGCCTGGATAAGTACTAGGACATTATTTGCGCTAGTTCCTTTCAGGATTTGTGTAACTTTTCTCAAGTAAGTTGTTTTTTGACTTTTTTTAAAAATCGTGTGCTACTTTCGATTCTTCCCTTGTGTATTTTTATATGTGAAGTAGAGAACAGAGTGGATAAGATGCCCCTGTGCTGCTTTCCATTAAACAGGCAACGCCGGATTTGCCGATGTTGCCGCCGACGCCGGATAATGGAACGCGCGTTGCCGGCAAGCAATTGCGGTCACGCATTTTACCATTGCCGATTCAGAAACAATATGGCGTCGTGTCATCGAGAGGAGGTTTACAGATACTACAAAACGGCGATTTCTTCCTTAGACTCTGATAAACTACAACGTCAGTGCATAAAAATTAATTACGGAGAACACCCACCAACAAATAACAGGATAAGTATCCGTTTATAGTTAATTCTATATGATTTTTTTAATTGAACATGTAAAGTACAACTACTCCGAATTTTCTCCACACATATAGAATAAACAGTTATTTATGTACATCCTTTTGTAATTAAACGCAAACTGCATGATAAGTATTCCCACCTTTTTACGTCATATTTGACTGCTTATTGCGTCATATCACCTGTCTGGATAAAGAATATAGTCTTTTACTTTTTATCTGTCTGTTGACGATGGCCTCTCTTGAGCTTCTGCATTGCCCTGGATGCAATTCGTTATTTTTATCATTATCTCACTTTAATCAGCATAATTGCCAAGTAAATTCGCCAGTACAACCCCTCATTCTTAAGGACAACATGACCACTGTGTACAGGTATTTTATTTGCAAGTCTTGAGTTAACATTTTTTTATTCACAGTTACTGTTAGATAGAATGTTCTATCATTAAAATTATAATTATCCTATGGACCCGGTTTAACTTTTGCTACATTGCAAGTATACATATTGGTGGTATTCTAACTGTGGTGAGGGCTTGTCCTGAGAGTGAGACACAGTTAGATTATTATAGATTATATTATTAGTGACTGTACGTACAAAGTAAGTAAAAGTTCACACACTAAAAAAGAAAAGGTATGTTCACATTGTAATTAAAATAATCACAGAAGATTTAATTTATAAATTTTTCTGCATATTTAATCATCAGTATGCAGATTTTCAATGATATGTTTTATTTAATTAAGATATGAAATTTTGTGCATCAATAAGAATGATAGGAATTAAACACTACTCATGCTACTAGGGATAACAAGAATTTAGAAGGTTCAAAATTTTTAAATACCATTCTAGTTTTCAGTATATTTGCAGGGAAGAAGAACCACATCATGGACAGGGGGCTGCTTGTCAGCCAGTACACAAAGCTGCAACAAGCACTGTTGCAATTGTACATGGTAAGTAAACAAATCTTTATAGATGCAGGAAGGATTTTGGTGTAATGTCTCAAAATAGTTCTTTATATTTTGTGATTTAAGATTCAGGTTAACTAACTCAATATACATTGTTTTGCAGTTTAAAATAAGTTTTATGTGATACCAGGTATATTGAATTGCAAAATTTTGCCATGTATTCATTATATGACTTTCTAATAATTCCATAATTAATTTAAAAAACATGTACACTATTGAAAGTTGAATGAAATAATCAAAATAGATAGCATTATTTAATAGCAAATATAAGTTTCCCATAAATATTTTTTGTATCAGCAGGTGAAGAAAATGAAACAACTGTCACAGAACTTTCCCCTGCCACACCTGTGCAAGGTACATCATTTCTTGTATAATCTATTAGATAATATTTCTTTCTCAGGTCAAGCTTGAAATTTTTTTTTGTTTGCAGTTGCCAACTTTTAATCTTTAGAGTGGGTAGGTAGGTAGGCATGCTTTTTAAACTTTGCCTTAATTTAGATTTTAGAAATTTGTTAGATAGCAAATATTAGAGCTTTTCATATGCCTACTAAACAAGAAAAAGATCCACTCTTGGTTTAAACCAGTGATTGATAAAAATAAATATATCTAAAATTATAAATGAAACAGTCTCAATATCCTGAAAAATTGAAAAAAAAATATTACAAAATGGCAAAAAGACAGTCTGGGTTGGGTGCACTTTCAGTAGGTTGGTAGGCAAATGCAAAAAAAATAAATTTTTATTTTAGGCCTCACTGATATTTATATCCCTCGTTTTCACAAAAGCAAAGGGACATTATATCTCATTCATCTGTTAGTTGGCCTGTCTGTCACATATACATTAACCTTGGTCATAAAGTTTGAGTGAGAAGAGATAGGGCTTTCATATTATACATGTATATTACATATGGTAAGACCTTTCTAAATATACTATGATTTTTGGCCCCATGACCTTGAAGTTTGACCTACTTTTCAAAAAAATTAACATTTACATGAAATTGGTCATAACTTTTGAAAGATAAAAGATAGGGCTTTGATATTACTTGTATATTACCTGTTTTAAGATCTTTCTAAATGTACTATGATTTTTGACTCTAGTACTAGGGATGTGCGATTTTATCGGTATACCGGTATATCGCGATTTTTTGTTGCCTGATACGTATCGTGATACGGAGACCTAAATACCGGTTTTTAGGTACATATTATAAAGTCCAGAAATTATTCATATATTTGTTCAATCTTTCAAATTACAATTGCAAAAAGTATAAAGAATGTTGTTAAAAGTGAAAAGAACGGCATCTTACCGTCCAAACATGATTGATTTTATATACATAAAAATTTCAAGAATGTAAAATTTTGTTTTTCTGGCATATTTTTTAGAAAAATAATGACTTTTCATATAATATCATTGTAAAAACTGCTTTTAAAAATATCATGATATTATCGTGATATTGTGGGGAAAAACCGTGATATATCGCGATACGAAATTTTTGGCGATACCCGTCCCTATCTAGTACATTGACTTTTCTTTATAACTTTTGATAGAGAAAGAGATAGGGTTTGTATATTTCATATGTGAATTACCTGTGACAAGAAGTTTACAGACATGCTATGATTTTTTGTCCCTTGACTGTTATGCTTGTCCTAATTTTCAAAAATTTTAACTTTGGTGATTACTTTTGATGTCAATGACATATGATAGGGCATTCATATTTGACACAATATGTCATAATATACAATATGCCATAAATAATGGCATCTCATCTAGTAAGATGATGAAAGCAGAAGACAAGAAAATTCTTTGAATTTGCTTGTTGAATTTAATTTTCATGCATTAAAAGAGATTATTTATTTTGCAGATGTAAAGCAGACATGGACCAACTGTCTTACCAAAGGCCTCATCAATTTTAGAGGTGAGTTGGATGCAGAGTTTGCGTCGAAAAAGAAAACCCATAAAGCATTATGGAAAGAAATTGCTGATAAAATGAAGAACGAGTATGGGTTTACTGGTGACTGGCTTCAGTGCCAGTCAAAATTTAACAAGCTTACTGCCAAATACAAGGCTGTAGAGGATGCTAACAAGAAGTCTGGGGAGAGACGGAGATCCATGGAATTTCACAAAGAAATGATGGAAGTTATGGGTGATGATCCAAAAATAACGCCATTGAAAACAGTATCTGTAGGTGTGAGTAAGGGTGTAAGTATAATTACTAGTGAGAAGGGGGAGAAAGAGGAGGGGCATGAGAAGGTGAGTGGTAAAGTAGGGTGTGAGAAAGTGAAGAAAGTGTCTAAGCGTAAGAGGGAGGATGAGTTGATAGATTTGTTGACTGAGGTGAGGGATGACAGGAGAAAGTTTCAGGAGGAGCAGATCAGAGTAAATGAAAGAAAGCTGGTGCTTATGGAGAGATTAGTGTCTTTGCTTGAAAATTAAGTATGTGTTTTCTCTTCTGATATCAGAGATCAAATTAGTAAGTGCATGTCACTAAGACCAGACCAAAGTCAATTTTTATTTGGATTTTTAATATTTTGTGTTTTGATTTAATATTATATTTGTTTGGAAATTTGCTATTTTGTCAAACATCTTAATTCAAAATTTTGCTTAAATTGTTTCAATTTCAAAATTATTTCAAAAGATAATTTTAACTGAAGGTAATATATTCTTAGTTTATGGTCTATGGCCCTACGGAGAATGTTTATCTCACATACTTTTTCAAAACAATGCAATTCTGTAGAATACATGTATTCCAAAAAAAAAACCCAATTAAAATTTTGTTTTTTTGTTAAAATAATTGAAAGAACCATTCGCATATATTTTTTTGTTACTTGTACTCTGACCATCATTTTTCAAGGTGGTATAGTAGATAGTTTTGTTGTTTTTTTTTCTTTTTAAGTTATGTTAGAAAATTATTTTAAAACAAACAGACTAAGAACAGGTGTAAATATTGATGTGAATTTATTATTAGTTGTTGATTGAACTTTATACATAATTTATATGCATTCACTGATGATAAAAAAGGATTTTTCCAACCAGAAATTGGATTTAGCTACAATTTCAGGATACATCATTCTGATCATTGAAAATTTTTAATGTAAATGTTACATAAAAAGCATTTTGTTAAATTTCAATAAAAAGGAAACATTTGTAAATTTAGCATTGTTTTCTTAATTTCATTGAAGTTTATTATCGGTTGGTAGACCAGAAATACTGGGCTAGGGCATTTCTTTTTACGGATCCACTCTGGTTCAAAGGCTCACCCACAGCTGGAGCATCTGGGAAGATACTGGTATCATTGCACATGTCCAGGTCATTATCATTGTTCTGTAGAAAAAGAAATCAAGTATAAAGAGCAAGAATCATTTTTACATGTGTTTCAAATGCCAAAATTCATGACGATTTTTTTAAGTGGGGGGGGGGGGCTTACGTCTATGCACATATTGTGAAGTGTACAGGCTGCTGTTATAACACTTGGAACGTCTTCTAGTTTGGTCATCTCAAGGAATCTCAACCTTCTCCATTTTCCTTTTAACAAACCAAATGCTCTTTCAATCATCTGACGAGTGTTGGAGTGTATGAAGTTGTACCTTTTGTGACACTCGGCCAGATTTCCTGTATCTTTATATGGTGTTAAAATCCAACTGAAATGCAATACAAATAACTTATACATAAAAATAATGTACATGATTTTCAAATCAAGATTTGTTTGTAAAATACTGATGCCCTCATGTGGCATCTTATGACAAGGGCTGAATTCTTTCAAATGCATATCAAACTCAAAAGGTCAATGTCAAATGTCAAAAGTGTTGGTACCGAAGGGATGGCCTTGTTACAAGGAATATACATGTTAAATATGAAGACATAATTCTAGCTGTTCAAAAGTTATGACCAAGGTTGAAGTATTAAAAATGGGTCATACTCTTAGGTGAAGGTCAAAAGGTAAAAATATTTATACCAGATGAAAGTCATAGCTTGTACTGTTCAAAAGTTATGGCTAGGTTAAAGAGTGTTATCTTTTTTTTTTGTAGAAGTATGTCGAATTCCAAGTTCAAGAAGTCAAATTTGGTCTTGTCAAAGGGAATACACCTGTGAAATATGAAAGCCATAGCCCTACCCACTCAATAGTTTATGGGCTAGGTTAAAGTTAACTACAGACAGACAAAAACACTATACCACAGGATCTTTCGATCCAGGGACATAAAGAGTATAATCTGCCCGTTTATTAAATGAATGTTGATTTTAATAACCTTTGCAGTGGATATGCTGCATCTCCAACAATATGTGTATCGCCAGGAAAGAGGTTTTCGTTGGCTTCATAAAGGGGGGAATTTTTGAAGACCCTTGCATCGTGTACAGAACCAGGCCATCCGGATACAATGTCCGTGAACCGCAAAGTATGATCACACACTGCCTAAAAAGTAAAATGAATGGATTACTACTAGTAAATCACAGGAATCATGGAGGCAATTAGTCTTATTTTTAAAACCGAATTATATGTTCACCTGTAAAATAACCGAATAGTCCCGTTTCCTATTCAGATAAGACATGGGATGGTATTTTTCTTGTGGAGCTTTTATCTGAACGTGACATCCGTCGACAGCCCCTAAAACTCGAGGGAAACCCATGAGGTTTTCAAAGCCTTCAATGACTTCATTTGCCCTAGCTCCTGTAACGATAAATTCCAGTTTTATTATTTTACTGAATAATTAAAAAAAAAGGGGGGGGGGGGCACTTGGACATGCTCCGTATAATTTTTAGATATATTGTTTACTGTAGAAAAGAAAAATACTTTTACTTCCCCCAATGATGTCATATTTTTTGTGAAGGGTTTTTTATTATCATTGCCGGCCCCTTATTAAAAGTTGATAATGAAAGCTTATAAATGAACACCTATTATTACACACACACACACACCCTCACAGACATATGCACTAACCAGTAGGCCACTTGATTTTTTCTACAGAAAGGCATTGTAAAGCGGTACATGTCCTCATGAAGCATCGGTACACGGAGGAATAAGTGACATTAAACCTGTCACTTATTTGTCTGTATCCTTCCATATTTGCCAACATCCATATAGAAATCATTACTTGTTTGGAAGGTTCAATGATTTCTCTGCCATGAACATGTTCTTTTGGGATGTGGCCTGTTGACAGTATCTGTTAATTAAATAAAGTTTACTTCAATGATATTTTGGATTTTTTTTTTTTTGAAGCCCCCCCCCCCCCCCCTTCACCATATGTGTACCTAACCGTACATAAATTTCATAACCGGTTATTCATTTTTTATTGATGACAGTATTGAATAATAAACGTGTCGATTTTTAAAAATACTATAGGATATGATCAAAAGTACATTTTATTATATTATGAAGGGGGATAAGTGCATCGCCGTAATCAAAACAAGTTTGTGTAAAGAAGTCATAGTAAGCTAAAATATTATCACAGTATAAATAATCCTCGTTAAAAAATCTTTTGTGAAAGCTAAATATGACATATGGTATTACTAAGTAAAATATAAAAATATAAGATTTTTAAGTGTAGGTTCAAATGAAATTTGTTATTTACGTTCAAATTCAAATAATTCGGTTATTGTTTTAAATCTTTGATATTTATAAAACACGATTTATTTAAATTGTGAAATTTACAGGAAAGTCCTATCTTTATATAAAGAGGCAAAACAAATAGAAAGATCTTTTTTTTTTTAAATTTTAGCTAGTCTGAACTTATAAAAAATAGGCCATATATGAAGTTAAAAACAGAACTCTTCTACACACATAAACATAAACATTAATTGCGACGCTTGGAAGTTTATTTAACGAAATGTTATATGACTCCACTATACATCCATGGATATAAGATACTAGAAAATTAAATTTCAATTCATATGTTGAATCGATTTTTAATTCTGCGCATCTCGGGTACTCTTAATGGGGCGCAATTTTATCTGTTTTATTATTTTATTTTTCTCGCATATAAGCGATCGCAATTAAGTTCTAGAATGGACACTTAAATAATAGTAAATAAAGCATTTCATAGACTTTTTACAATAAATCCCCTTTTTTTTTGCCTAGAAGAATTTGTGAACATTACTAAAAATTTTAAAATATATCAAACAAAGAATTTTAAAACAGTTATCAAACTCAGCTATTGAACGCAGCCCTTGGGCAGATCGATAGACTTTGCATTGGAAGCATTTTATATATGAAATGGTGTATTTTCTTGAGCGATTTATTAATAATTTAAAGCATACCTGTCTACAGACTTCCTCAAAAGTCTCTCTTCGCATTCGAAAATGCGAGGAAAATTCATCTGGGGAGTATCCTGGTATTGTTACGTTGAAATAATCAGAAATACGCTGTCGGCTTATTCTTTTTTCTGACAAGAGATGACGTATAACCTCTGGCGTAACATCGTCGTCACAAACATTCATCTCATCGCTTTCAAGTTCTTGAAGGAGAAATATCTTTATTATGCGAGTGTTTCGCTTGGATTCGCATTCCTCCATATTTAGTAATTGTGACGTTACCAACCGTTCCATTAACGTCACCGTTTCCAGCGTGACGTCGCCGAGAACACCAAAATTCAAAAGGCAACGTTAATGGAATTAGGGAATACAAATATAAGCATTGAATTCATATTTTTGGATGTGTTCGGTCCTATAACGCACCTGGCCGTGCCGACAAATTATCATACCAATTTGTATTCAATTGGTATTCAATTTGTCGGCACGGCGAGGTGTGTTATAGGGCCGAAGACATAAAAAAATGAATTCAATGCTTAGATACGAATTGCTTTCAGTAGTGTTATATAAAGGAAAATATTTGCCAGATTATCGAGTATAATATGGTCTGGGTCAGTTTACGGTTTATAATAAAGCATAAACTGACCGAAACCAGATTATGCTCGATTATATGGCCAAGAATTAAAGTAATTCCTTATAATTTAATTTTATTAAGGTATGACTCAAATTCTTGGCGTAATCATTCGATTATAACCTGGTTTGGTCAAACTGACCCAAACCAGGTTAAAATCAAATAATTTGGCAAAAACAAAAATAGAGTCATTCCTTATAATTCAATTTTTGAATAGTTTAACAAATGTGGGTGTAAAATTGTGCTCTTTTTTATGAGTTCAAATTGCCGCTCAATAATACATCCCTAGTAACCGAAGTGATATGAAACAAGGGGAGGTAATAATTGAAACACAGATTTAGCTGGCATGGTGTTTGTTTACACGAGGTAAGATGGAGATACTGTTTGAAGTTAAAGGTACATTTATTAAATTTGGAATTTTCCATGAATCCCAAGGACTGGAAATGAGGGGATTGTATGGATACAGATAATTCAGTTGGTTGTCAAAGGGGTGTGTCCCCATACCAAACCAGATTATTGAAAAATATTTTGCGTTCCTTTTCGGATATCTACCAATAAAAACTAAAATACAAACAAAATTTAGTTATATATAATTTAACACTTTGGATGTAAAATTGTGTTGCTTTTTACTAGCTGCAGATCTGTAGCGTAATGGTTTTATGTATTTGTCTTTTACCATAACGCTACAGATCCCGTAATGCAAAAAAAGATGCAATTTACGCAATATTTTTTTGCGCACTTTTGGAAGATTTTCTTCACTTTCTAGCATTGGTCTATCAACTTACGTTCACTCCTCAATTCTTGACACATTCTGTAGCCAATATGTATATTTTATCCACCTCCCAACCATTTATAGTTGTTTCTACAGGTAATAAACTCGCTTGAAGTAAATTTCAGCAATCTAACAATTAATTTTAATCAGGCGAGTTAATCACTTGTAGAGACGACTATAAAGGGCTTGGAGATGGATACCCAATTTCGCGGATTCAACGTTACCCTAATATCGGGTATTATACGCGATTTCACGGATAATACCCGATTTCGAGTATTCTCTCCGACCTGTTCAATGGACTTCATTGTATACGGAAATAAAATTGATAGGGCCTATAC